GTATAATACATAAGGGGGGATATGATCACCATGTATAATACATAAGGGGGGATATGATCACCATGTATAATACATAAGGGGGGATATGATCACCATGTATATTACACATAAGGGGGATATGATCACCATGTATAATACATAAGGGGGGATATGATCTCCATGTATAATATATAAGGGGGGGATATGATCACCATGTATAATATATAAGGGGGGGATATGATCACCATGTATAATACATAAGGGGGATATGATCTCCATGTATAATACATAAGGGGGGGATATGATTGCCATGTATAATACATAAGGGGGGATATGATCGCCATGTATAATACATAAGGGGGATATGATCACCATGTATAATACATAAGGGGGGATATGATCTCCTTGTATAATACATAAGGGGGGATATGATCTCCATGTATAATACATAAGGGGGGATATGATCTCCATGTATAATACATAAGGGGGGATATGATCTCTATGTATAATACATAAGGGGGGATATGATCTCCATGTATAATACATAAGGGGGATATGATCACCATGTATAATACATAAGGGGGGGATATGATCTCCATGTATAATACATAAGGGGGGATATGATCTCCATGTATAATACATAAGAGGGGATATGATCTCCATGTATAATACATAAGGGGGGATATGATCTCCATGTATGATACATAAGGGGGGATATGATCTCCATGTATAATACATAAGGGGGATATGATCTCCATGAATAATACATAAGGGGGGATATGATCACCATGTATAATACATAAGGGGGATATGATCTCCATGTATAAATACATCAGTGGTTCATATAGTGAACTCGGTGTAGAGTTATTCACCCTGAGGTCATCACAGAGGACAAGGGGGCACTCTTTACATCTGGAGGAAAATACATTTAATCTCAAATTACGGAAAGGTTTCTTCACAGTGAGAGCTGTGAAAATGTGGAATAGACTCCCTCAAGAGTTGATTCTGGCCAGCTCAGTAGATTGCTGTAGGAAAGTCCTGGATTCTTTCTTAGATACACAGAATATAATTGGATACTAAGATTTATAGGTAAAGTTAATTCAGGGAATATCCGATTGCCTCTCGGGGGTTCAGGAAGGAATTTTTTTCCCTGCAGGAGCTAATTGGATCATGCTTTGCTGGGTTTTTTTGCCTTCCTCTGGATCAGCTATGGGTATAGGATTATAACTTTTTTTTTTTTAAATGGTTGAACTGGATGGACTTTTGTCCTTTTTCAGCCAGACTAACTATGTAACTATGATATGGAGCTGAGACATGCTCTTTCTCTGCCTGCACTCCCAGCAGTTGTCAGCATATAAGGAATATAGTCTACTGGTCATCTACTGGCAAAGGGGATTAAAATTAGGGATGCCACTGCCCACTGACACAAAGTGTTGGGTATTACAGAGAAAGGTTGGCTAGAAAAGAGAGACCACATCAGAACTTTGCTGTGGGGGGCTGTGATTTGTAATTAGGCCCCTGGATTAGAACAAACCAATTAAATATTATGTGCCAGGGTTGCCCACACTTTTCAGAAATAAACGGCTAGTTCATTGTTATTTCGAGGTCAGAGGGGGTAAAAAATCTCCTAGGTTGGTGGTGAGCAGGAGTAATACATGCATTGGTGTTGGTGGCCAGCAAGAGAAATCAATACCCCCATGTCTGTCAGAGTAATAAAAGGGGTCCCTCCCCTAGCACTGTTGTCGGTGAGCTAGATAAAGACCACACACCACTGGACTGGTGACAGTGGGAGCATAAAAATACCTCCCTCACCCCCAGTGGCACTAAAAGAAGACCACCCCTGGAATTGGCATCAGCGGAAGTAATAAAGACCACCCCCACCTGCACATTAATATTAGTGACAGTAACAGAAGGCCGATTGGCATTGGTGTCAGTGGGAGTTATGTAAGACCACTCATCTTCCTGGGTATTGGATTTGTGAGCTGATAAACTCCATGAGCAATAGGTATCCCCAACAGCATATACTGCTTTAAATGGAAGAAAAGCCTAAAGCTGGCCACAGATGGTTAGAATCTCAGACAGTTCAGCAGAGAAAGGTTGAGATTCAATCCATCTATGGACAAACTGGTTGTACTGAAGTTGATCCATTAGTCGACCTCAGTAAAATCAGCTTGTTGAATTTTTTTCTTGCAATCAATGCCAGCTGCTATAGCAGTCATCATTGTGTTCTGCTGGTGGGGAAGGCTCCACAATAGCTCTGTGTGAGGGGAATGGAGCAATTTTCTTTCCTTCCACCTGTGGTGGAAGGTAAGAACATTGCATAATCTATGGGCTGCCTAAGTCTAACTATTCTTAAAAATGTTCTCTCCCCCTCCTCTTATCTATCGTGCCCAATCTGTATAAAAAAACATGTTTGTACTTACCTATGTTAATTCACTCCAGTCCTGTCATGTGATGCTGCAGCTCCGGATCAGGGGATGCTCGTAACAGCTGGGAATTCTTTGGAGCTATGACATCACCCATAGACATCCATAAGCCAACTGTCAGCACTCTCTCCTTTCCCCTGCAGCAGCCGCTTACTGACACAGGAGAGCAGGAGCTGCAGGATCAAGTGATCAAAGCAGTGTGGATTGAAAATAGGTAAGTGCACACATCTCTTTACAGATTAGGCAGGATTGGTAGGAAGAGGGAAGAGGGGAGAGGGAACATGTTTAAAGTCATTGTAGACCCTTACATATACCCAGTGAAGTGACTGGCCTCAGGTAATACACAGGGATGAAACCAATCCTCCTACATAAGTTGCACCTGTCTATCTACACTCATCTGTCACCTACATCTATTCAAAGTGCAGAATTTACACAGGACCTCCCAGCTCTGAAAAGCAGGGGGTGGGGAGCTTAAAGTATTACTAATCCTCGGACCCTGCATTCATTGTATCTGCTCTCTCCCCGACCCTGTGTTCACTATATCTGGTCTCCCACAGTACGCACAACATGGAAGTGCAATTATTTTAGTAAATATAAACTGCTAAATACATTTTCTCATCAGCAGTTAGAGCAGTCTTGTGAATTCTATCAGTGTGCGGCAGAGTACATGTTAAAGCTTGTAGGAGGAGTTTTCATTCTGCTCTAGGAGGATGCAGAACTCCTGACCTCTCTCTGGACAGTGCTGATTGGCCCTGTGCTGATCACGTGCATTTTCCCAAAATTTAAAAAAAAAAAACCTCTCTAGCAATACACACCAAACTGAGCATGTGCATAGTGTCTCCACATGATATGTCTTATCAGGAGATAAGAGGGGGACACTGGAAGAAGGGGAGGATCAGAGAAGTCAGGATCAAACAGCCTTTTTACATGCGAAGTGCGAAGGATTAACCCCTTAGATTCCACAGTGAGTATAACAAGCATGCTTTACTGCATATACAGACTGATTTTAGTGTTGTGGGTTTAGTAGCACCTTAACTTACACTCAGTAAGAAGTGCTCTGAGAGCTGATTTGAGGGAACGGACACACACCCCTTCACACAGGAACAGAGCTGAGCCTGTCAATCTGCTGGAGGTCCCTCCCATCATAATTTTTCTCTTGCTGTCAAGAACACTTGTCAGAAGTGACTCATGCTGATAGCAGAGGAACGAAGACAGAAATGACTCTTAGTCCTCTTAATTGAGACAATTACACACTATTGAGGGATGTGCTTTGTTCATATTTCATGTCTGAGGTTTACATCCACTTTAAGAATTGCTTGGATTTTCTTGCAGTTGAATCTACCTTTTTTCTATCCCCCATAAATCCATTCAGTGCCAGGAGCTGAAGGGGTGCCCAGTACTATTGGGCATGAAGGAGCATGTGACTCCCTCCATGTAACAGCGCTGTCATACAAGGAGTTAGTATGTCTAAGTTAGCTATGACTCTGATGACTTTTAGTTTACAAAGGACTTTCCTTGCGGTGATACCTCACATGTGCGGTGTGAACACTGTTTGCATATGTGGGCATGACCAATGTATGCGTTCACAACTGTGTACGAGCATGGGTGGACGGAGGTGCTTTACCCCTAAACGCTGAGCGCATGCAAATATGTGGCCTCTCGGCGTCTGGGCCTTGACGCCGAGCTGCCGCATATTTGCATGCAATTAGAAAATACATATGTGCTGAGAGCATGTGCCCTGTGCGCTGCCAGCGCATGTGTCCGTGACTCACGGAAAGATCCCGATCTCTCCTTGCGATCGGGAACTTTTCCGATTGTGTGACCACCGTGACGGCGAATTACGGCGGTCACATGACCCCAAGACCCCGCCCGCCTCCTGGATTGTGAAACTCTTAAAGGGCCGGGAGGCGCCGGCGCAAAAGGGTTAAAAAATGTTTTTTTTTACTTTTTTTATTTTTTAAAAACGCTGTCCCTTTAAATTGTTTTCCGATCACTTTTATTTCTATCACAAGGAATGTCAATATCCCTTGTGATAGAAATAAGGGATGGCAGGTCTTCTTTATGGTGAGATCTGGGGTAAATAAGACCCCACATTTTTCCTCCACAATAGAAAGCATTAGATTAAAAAAAAAAAAACATCTAATACCTAAAAAAAAAAAATGACCTTGTTCACATCGGCCATCTTTCCTCTGCTTGTCTCTATGGCCAGCTGTCGCCAGCGTTGGATTGGTTCCTGGGCTTATAAATCATCCAGGTATGCCCAAGAAACACCGGAAAGTGGCGGGGGGGCACACCTCCTATCACTTCTAAAAGTCACCCAGTGGCTAATTAGCCACCTGGATCACTTTTATCAGAAAGACAGCTACCTGGTGTCGAGTTAAGCAGACAGCAAATGGATATAGTTAATTACTTGATTTGGGAAACACTCGTGTTCAAAATAAAGTCAGCTCTCACATGATATTGTGACACTCTCTCTATCACATTTTCTGTAAAAAAAAACCTTGGTCATGAGTCATATTATGTATGCAGATTTTGAAGTCTTCTTTTTTCAATGTTTCCACAAACCACTGCCAAAAAATAGCTTAACATCTCACCAGGGACTGACAACTCATGGGGCCCCCAGGCAATAGTGAATCATGGGGCCCCTGAGTCCTTGCCCAAACTCAAAAAAGCCTATGAAAAAGGTACCAAGGGCATCTCATGGGGCCCCCTACTGACCCTGGGCCCTCGGGCAGTGCCCGAGTTTCCAAATGGTCAGTCCGCCCCTGCATCTCACATAATCAGTGTACACAGACTTTTCTCCAACCTGTCCTAATAGCCAGCAAGTCAAAGATCCCTCTGTCCTGCCTTTGGCAGCCAGGTGATTGAGGACAGTGGAAAAATAGCAATGGACCCGCAAGGTTATCTTATTGTTATTGCTGTCTTAAATACAAAAAAAATTTTGCTAGACTGCGCTAGTAAAAAGATATATATAATAAGATAAATGTCCGTGAGCAAAGAAATCTAGATCATATTAATCATATAACAAAGTCATATCATATAAAGTCCCCAAAAAAAAAAAAAATTATATATAAAGTGATAATGATAAAATAAATTCAAATTCAAACGAAATCCACCAAGTGTATCCATCACCGAATAAACTCACCAGAGCAATATGCTGATCCTATTATAAACCAGCATAAATGCTTTTCTGCTCTGGGACCAATGATCTGTTGATAGTTGGGACAAAACTTTGGCTTGGAAAGAAGTTCTTTCCAAGCCAAAGTTTTGTCCCAACTATCTACAGATCATTGCTCCCAGAGCAGAAAAGCGTTTATGCTGGTTTATAATATGATCAGCATATTGCTCTGGTGAGTTTATTCAGTTTATTCGGTGATGGACACACTTGGTGGATTTCGTTTGAATTTATTTTATCATCACTTTATATATAATTTTTTTTTTTTTGGGACTTTATATGATTGATATGACTTTGTTATATGATTAATATGATCGAGATTTATTTGCTCACAGACATTTATCTTATTATATATATCTTTTTACTAGCGCAGTCTGGAAAAAAAATGTTTCTATTTATATGCACCTTATTATAGGGCAGATTTTGCAGCTGGTATTATTGACATAGAAATTGATTGTAATTTTTATTAATATTGTTTTGGCGCCACCTATATTTATTTAGTCAGTATTGCTGTCTTAAAGCATTGACGTTGACATAAATCATCTGGTTTTCGGGCCGGTTGCTTCTCTACCGCAGTGGATCTCCACAGTCTTCTTGGCTTGTAATGTAATTTAACAAAAAAAAAATAGAAAAGGTCCAGATACAACTTTATTTGAAGAAAAGTCAGGGGGACAATCTAAAGAATATCCAATGTTTTCTGGAGGTCCAAAACTACTCCCTTCATCGGGACTTGAAAGAAACATAAGGACATCTCCATATCAATACAACAGCCATACAATTTCCCCTTATCAGGAGCTGAGGATCATACATTACAAGTATCTATTGCCTGTGATCATCAACTCCATCAGGTGCCCACAATACAGTATTTTCACGATTCACTCTCTTCTGTATGAATTAATACCTTTTGACTTGGAGAGGAAATAGCCTATGTATTTCCTCTAATAACATTTGATTTTGCCCACATTTTCACAGAAGAAATGCAGTTTTGCAAAACGAATAGCACTGTAAATATTTTTATCAATAAACCCCTTCAACTTAACCACCTCCTAACCAACCATTTGTAGTTAAAGCGGAGCTCCACCCTAAAGGGGAAGTTCTGCTTTAAGCCTTTGTCCCCCACTCCCCATTGAGGATTGGCACCTTGGGGGAGCGGACACCCGAATTGACAGGTACCGGCTCCCATTTCCTCTGTGATCGCCAAGGCGATCGGAAGTGGACATTGTCCTCCCTCCCCCCCGTAGACTTCTAGGACACGTGACAGGTCCCAGAAGACTACGGGGTCATTCACAAAGCGTAGCGCTTCTCGCGCATCTGCAGTGGGCACCCGGCTGTGACCACACTGAAGATGCCGGCGCCGGGGAGAGAAGACGGCCAGTGAAACCAGCCGTGGTGAGGACACCGCTGGACCGAGGGACAGGTAAGTGTCTGCATTTTTAAAGTCAGCAGCTACAGTTTTTGTAGCTGCTGATTTTTTTTTTCAGGTGGAACTTCGCTTTACAGTGATTCTAAAGGTTCATTTTTAATTTTTTTTGTAAAACAAACATGTCTATACTTACCTGCTGTGTGCAGTGGTTTTGCACAGAGCAGCCCCGGATCCTCCTCTTCTTGGGTTCCCTGCAGGCTCTCCTGGCTTCTCCTATCTGTCGGGTGCCCGACAGCAAGCAGCTTGCTATGGGGGCACCCGCTGCTCCGTGTGTCCATTCACACATGCAGCCATGGCCCTCTCTCTCCTCATTGGCTGACTGGCTGTGATTGACAGCAGAGGGGGCCAATGGCTCACGCTTGCTGTCTCAACCGATAAGGAGGCAGAGACCTTTGACAGCCGAGGCTGTCATTCACATCGCTGGATCGTGATGAGGCTCAAGTAAGTATTGGGGGGCTGGATTTATTTGCATAGAGTTATTAATCTTGCAAATGAGTGCTCAGAAGGACTAAGGAAATGTAGGGGACCCTAAACAACTGGACAGAGCTGCAAAGTGTGGTCAGATGTAAACCCCCTGAAAATGGGCTGTGAGTGAGAAATGGTGGATTGTTATAATAGGAATAAGTGGCTGAGGACTGAGACTGAGATGGTCCAAACTCTAGCATAAAAAAAAAAGGTTAAAAGGTTTCCAATATGTTCCTCATCATTCTGTAGCACTACCTCCTTAGGAGCGGATGTATGATTGCTCAGAGTTCTTTTCCCAGTAGTTGCACCGCAGCCAAGTACACATATCCAGTCACTCTTCGAGCAAAGTAACCAGTCTAGGGCAGAGGCGTAGCTTGAAGCTTGTGGGCCCTGATGCAAAAGTTGACCTGGGGCCCCCACTACCTTCCACCGTGAGCCAAGATGCTCCCACCGCGTATCAAGATATGAAAACTGTATGGTGGCTGTATCTCTCTCTTTCTTCTCTCTCTCCTTCTGCCATCTGCACATGCACACAAGGTGATGGCAGGCAGGCCACACTCTAAGCTGACGGGTGAAAGCGGTAGGTTTGTATGTAAAAGGGGAAACTCTGACTTCCAGATCCACAATTTACTCATACTGTGTCCTGTCACATCAAAGGGTAGAGTGCTTGTAGGTTGTGGTGGTAGGAAACTGTGGCCAAAGGCCAGTGTGAAATAAAGAGATGTGTACCTGTGAAATGGTTGTTCCAGTGTTGGAGGTACCAGGACATGCTGATGACTTCATCATTGTTACAAATGTTTTAAACACATTGCTCATCTCTTGAGAAAGGATAACAATTTCTGGAAAGTGTAGTGGGGATCTCTACAATTTCTGGAAAGTGTAGAGTCAAACCCTATTCTGAATTTAGTAGTGTTGTGTTGCAGAAGTCGAAATAATTAACTCTTTCTGTACTTATCAGGCATTCTCACGGCACCCTGTAGTTTCATAAAATGTATATTGTATAGGGCGCACTTGTTGGAGCCCAACCTCTGTAGCTGTAAGATAAAGGTGCCAGATGGATATCAGGGATGGATGGATGAGAACAGTAACACTGAGGCAGCTCTTCTTAGAGTGGAAGCAAGTCTCTAATGCAGTAACAAGAAAAAGAGAGGAAGGCGCCTCTAAGTGCATTATTAACAATTTATTAGTAGACAATGGAAAATTTGCACTTACAAGATAAACGGCTAAAAAGGCTCATCGTGTGGTAATTAGATCCAGGTGGGACAATCAGCCGTCCAGCAGCAGACTATGCCTATAGGATCATGGGTCTGAAGAAGGAGCCTATTGAGCATGCTCTGAAATGCATTACCGCCCCCTTTACCTGCTACATCTGACTCTGCTCTCCTAGCTTCATTTTTGATGAACAGGCACATCCTGGTCTCTACTTCCAGATCCTATAGGCATAGTCTGCTGCTGGATGGCTGGATGTCAAACCTGGATCCAATTACCACACGATGAGCCTTTTTAACCGTTTATCTTGTAAGTGCAAATTTTCCTTTGTTTACTGAATAAATTGTCAATACTGCACTTAGAGGCGCCTTCCTCTCTTTTTCTTTCCCTGTAGTTTCATAGGATGGGCTCTCTGATGAGGCGGAAACACACTCACTTCACCCTTGAGACGTCCTGGGAGAGGTCCAGCCTGGCCTGACCGGAATTTAGGGCCAATTCCTTAACACAGCTTTAACCTGAAAATTATGTCCTGCTCTGTTCCTAGACACAAACCCATGTCAAAGAGTGGTCTTCCATTGGTACAGAAAAAAACAGCAGGCTCCTTAGAATGGACATTTGCTCAACTTTAGAATAATAATGGAACACAGTCAGCCATACAGAATTTGATGGCATAGGACTTGAACAATTGTTTGCAGCAGAGATGAGGAGAGATAGGAGACCTTTGTCCACCACCCATAGCAGTGCATAGAATATAGTCCTGTCATTGCTTTCTAAGAGAAATGCAATCTGTTTTACCCCACAGGTAAGAGAAGTCCATGTGCCTCCTCCCCATCCCCCGAAAGGGAATCTAAGGGTGAAAGAGATCCTGGCTACATTATTTTTCTGGGAAGGGTCCAAGAAAAGAAAAGGGTGAGAGATATCCTCAACTAGCTCACCAGCCAGCAGGAGCTCTTTGCATTTCCCACCAATCCTGCATATGTAATTTTCAAGAACATTTATAACAGGCATGGTAGGGTTGCCAAGCAAACTAAAGCTGGGTACCACCTTAAAGGGCTTCTTACAAACACTTGTCACGCCAACTGGGGTCTTCTTCTGATTACTTGGGGAACTACAACGTGGTTTCTCTATGTACATCCTGCACACCCCTACACTAACTAATGTAAGTCATTGGAGAGGTGACACTTCCCCACAAAAAGTGTACTAAAAGAGTACTGTAAGGCTTAATAAATGCATTACATTACACCTACAGCAAGAACATTTAACATAGGGGATGCTGCCAGAGAAGGCTAGGTTATTGGTTATCAGCTGTCACGTACCTGTCTGAGGAGCTCTAGATGATATGGGTGGCCTCTTGCACAATTCCTGTCCAATTAATCCTGAAGACAGGGACTGCTTAGGCAATGGAATGGGGCAGGTGCCAGGAAGCTGGTACCAGGGGCGGACTGACCATTTGGAAACTCAGGCACTGCTCGAGGGCCCGGGGTCAGTAGGGGGCCCCATGAGATGCCCCTGGTACCTTTTTCATAGGCTTTTTTGAGTTTAGTCAAGGACACAGGGGCCCCATGATCTCCTATT